TTCAAACCCCATAAAGGATATATATTTTGATCAGCATCAATAGCGGAGTAGATAGAGCCATGTCTGTCTGTCCGTCTGTCCGTCTTGTTTGTCGGCTAGTTCTCAGAGAATATAAGAGCTAGAGCCACAAAATGTTGGCTCCAGACTGCTGTATGCTCACACTGAAACCAGTGTATTTCAAAAATGAGCCACGCCCCCTTCCGCCCCCGCCAACGGGTGAAAACCTCCAAAATCTAGTTTTGAAAATAAAAAAAAACTAAAATCGCCATTCCGTAGAGAATGGATATATCTATCAAATCTCCAAATTATGATCCGATTGGATCATTATTATAGCCACAATGAAGAAATTAATTTCCAGTGGCCTGGAAACCCACCCTGTCCCGAGCTTTTGTTGTTCTTTTCACATTCTCTTACTCACACTCTGCTTCTGCTTCACTCGGCCCCTGCCTCTGCCTCTGCCGACTTTTAACCCACCCCGTCCCGCAGCTTTTATTTGTTTGTTTTTTTTGTGGGCGGACGGTGATCTGCCTCGAGTCTGCAGTGTGTGGGTATAGGGAAGGGCGGCGAGCTTACGGAGCGTGTTGGTGTGAGAAGTGTTGTAGATGTAGATGACAGATGAAGAAAAAATTAAAAATTTGACAAAACACCGCTAAGATGCAGATGTAGTACTGAGTGCCGGGTATAAAAGTTGAGACGCGTAAAAAGCGTCTCAAACGTCCCTTCTCGTTTTTTGATTAGATTATCTCAAAATCAGAGATGAAAAGTTCAATCCAGATATCTTCCAAATCCTATGGGATCCAACATCTGTCCAAAATCATAAAACTCTCTCATCAAAAGTGTATCAAGAGCACCAAGAATTTCGAACCCCTGCACCTGTACGATGTACCCTTAAGAAAATGTAGTACAAACGTACATGCGAATGTACACATGTGCGTACACATACAATACATATGTACATATGTATGTATGTATGTATTTATCTATATATCTAACTGCTGGTGTACTTCTGCCGCAACTCTAATTCTGCTGGCGTCGCTGCTTCTAGTTTACAGTTGCTGTTATGGGAAGACGGGCGGGGGCGGGTGCCAAAACAAGTGTCTGTCTAATGCGGTGTGCTGCAAAAAATGTTCTAATAGGTGGGTTGGGAGAGAGATCGAGTGTGGAGAGGTGTGAATTCTGTTTGCTCATCCACTTCCCTGGCCCCCCTCCACATGAGCGCACAAGTAAATTGTTTCTAATTTAATATTTTGTTTACATTATTTATTATTTTATTTATTTATGTATTTGCGCCGATTTCCTCCTGGTTCCGCCTTCCGTTTTTGACCCTGGCCCTGGCCCTGGCCCTCCCCCTGCGCCTTTGCATCCGCCCACTGAAGATTAGCTCCCCCCTCAGAGGGTGGCATATCTGTGGGCACATGCAGCTCTTCGAAATCATGGGTGCATTCAGGAGAAACTTCCACAGCAGCACCGCGCTGCCAATCATGCCCGCCAAGGGGCGGTAGTGGCTGTAGCTGTCTTCTTAGTCCGCTCCGTGCTCCACGTCATGCCAGAGCCACCTGTCACCCACGTCGAGGAGCAGCCAGGCGCCGAGTACCTCGAGTATTTCGACGCACGGGCATGAAGACATATCGCAACCAGAGCAGGCGGCGGTAGCCGCCAAAGCAAGTGGAACAAGACGGCCAGGATCAGTGCAGATTTCTTAATCATTTTGAGTGTGTGGAACGGAGTGGAATACGTTTCGAATAGCAATTGAATACGGAGAAATTTAGAATACGATTTCGAATGAGAGAACGTTTTCTTCGGGTTTTTTGTGACTTGTGAAGCCAGGCAGGGGTAGGAGCCCCTTCGCACACTCTCTCTCAATCTCTCTCTCTCTGTCTCTCTCCCACTCACTCACTAGATTGTTTCTCTCAAGGCCCTGCCTTTGCAGACCTCTGGAGAGAGAATGAGTTAGATTTTGGTCTTGCTTAAAGGATCAACACTGAATGCATTCCAACGGATCGATCGAGACGATGAGCTTCCTGAGCGTCGACCCCTTTCTGTATGGTGGATGTGTACATAGAAGGTAGGGCCATACCATTGTCCATTGTCCCTTTCTCTAGCTGTGCCTATTGAAGTACCAGATGCATCTCTCCATGGGAATCGTGGAAGCTTTTCCCACCCTATTGTACACACATTCTTGAATTGACAAAGCACACACATCCTTCCCTATTTTCAGAGCAGATATATCCCCCCTACATGCTAGTTGCAAAAACCAGTAATGAGCCAGTCGCAACGCTGTTTTTCGAGCCACAAGTGCTTTACTCCTTAAGTAATGGGGCATACAAATAGCAGGCACCATTTATCACTGTGATCGTTCTAATCGAAGCAGCTACAAGCATGTGAGACAATTGTTCGACCGTGCTGTGAAACAAACTTTAAACTTCGTTGAGAGTGCTTAAAAGCGAGGAGAGAGAAATTCAGATAGACAGATTGACTCCTGTGTGAAAGAATAAAAGGATATAAAAAGCTTCACTATTCATTTATGTTCTGTCAACATTTTACTGACAATTGATGGCAGTCCCTTCATTCGAGCCAAGCCCTGGCCTGCGCCTAGAAGCAGACCGCACAAAGCATGCACTCGCTCAGGTTTTGTTACTGACCGGGTGTGAACGGGAACTGAACGTAGCCAGTCATGGGCATGCAATTGATCAAAGAAATGCTCTTACCAGTTTCTGCGCCACACTTTCTCCTCTGATCCTCGTGAGGATAGCCGCTTCTGCTTCTACATATGTTGCACTTTCTTCTCCTCTCATTTGCTGCTCTTTTCTTCTAGAGGAATGTCCTTATCTCTACCTTCCCTTCCGAAGGATTTTATGCTGCTGCCGCCGCCGCTGCTCCACGTCCGCCGCTCTCGTTTTCCTTTTTATTCTGCTGCTTCTGTCTCTCTCGATATTTGTTTATATTTATATTTATCTTCGGTTTCCTTTCAGGTTATGCACTATCATTCATTAACCGCTACAAACACAATCAAAAAAATTGACAACAAAAAAAAAACACACCGAGAGGAGCACGAGAAAATTTGTTTACACGCGCCACACGCGAAATAAATAACAAAAAAAATTACTCTGCTTCTCTCTGTGGTCGGTCTCTCGCCTCGCTCTTCGTCTTCCTTTATCACTCTATTTTTCTGCCTCCTTGCCGCAGAGAGCGGCGGAGCGGTAGGCGCAAGAGCAACTACAATGTGACGGAGCGGGACTATTTTGCGGGTTTTTGGGAAATAAGAGAGCGGGTAAAAGTAACAGTTAACACAAAACAGGAGTAGCAATTTTCGCGATTTCTTTTGGGTATTTGTTTTTCGTAGGAGCAGCTACCAACTTTTGTCTCCGGCTCTATCTCTGGTTCCGGCTCCAGGGGCGAGCTGTCTGGCTGTCTGTCCACTCGAGACTCTGGTCACTAAAGCTTCCTCTACTGCTTCTACTGCTTTTCCTCTACTGCTTTCTCTACTGCTTCTACTTTGCTTCTACTGCTGCTGCAATCTGTTCTGACGATTTTTGAGGCCGCTGCCGCTGCTTCGCCTCGCTCGCACGAGTCAAATGTTGCTGCGGTAGTGCGACGGTGGGGACAACACAACGCGAGCGGGCGCCACGAACCTGCCTCCACGAATAAGGTAAATGGCAAATACAGTGGGGGTCGGGCTTTCGGGCCTCGGCATGTTGCTGGAAGCCCGTCCAAATGTTGAGTGTACCATATTTTTTGAATAAAATGTCCCATAATTTATATTGTGTTGGTACACATTAAAATTCGGTATTTTATTTCTTAACAATTTTCTTTCTCGTTTTATTGCTGAAATTATGTATTAAATACAATTCTAATTATTAAAAAGGTGCATAAAAATTAATGTTTAATTGAAATCAAAGACCTATGTACTTTCAATATAGTCGCTCTCATGGCTTAAATCAAAAATAAAGTGTCCTGTTTTGTTTCAAAATATTTGCGCATCTGCTTTTTAACAGTTTGTGTACATTTTCGATGCATATTTTGTAATACAGTTTTTAAGGGCTTAACTAAAAAACATTCCAAGATTTTGATGAAAATGTGATCCAATTTTACCGCATATTTATATGTACAATGTTGCTGGAATGTTGTAAAAGCTCCACCAACCTCGTTGTACCAATAAACACTGTACATGTTTTCTAGCAACTTGCAGATTTTTTAACAGCCCAGCAACATTTTCTGCCAGGCGAGAGAGAGAGACCGAAAGTTGAGAGAATTCAGCGCGGGAGACAGAGAGAAATAGGGCTTTTCTCTTAAGTGTTGGCCAGTGCTGCCATCTTAGCTTATTTTGGGCTAGTTTAGCTTTTCTTAAGCGCAGCCATACAATCGATGGTTCCCTGCCATTGCCTAGATTATATTGACTCTGACGTTCTGGCAGCACTGCTGTCGGCGAACGCTCGAAGACGTAAGAGCTTTTGCAGCTGCTTGGCTCAACAGGAAGACGCCAAAGGAAGGACCTGGGACCTGGGACCTGGGACCAACCCCTTGTTACAACACGCGTCAGAGTCAACAAAGCAGCGGCAGCAGCAGTTGTCGTCACTTTTCTGAGGTTATGCATTCGAGCGTTTGTGTGTGTACGTGGGTGGCTGGGGAGTGGAATCTGAGCGACCCTGACAATGAGCCCCTCCCTCTATCCACCTACCCAACGCCCTGCCCTTTCCCCCTGTTCCATTCATTGCGACCTCACTTGGCATTCATTTAATTTAATTTGTCGCATCTTAAGCTGCTTCACGAGCAAGACTTCCCCATCCCTACCGCACATACATACATAGCAGGACCACACTCATGTCTAGTCAGCCGCCACATGTGCCGGTCACAATGTACATATGTACATATGTACATACATAAATATGTATGTAAGCATTCATAATAAGCAATAATAATAATAATAATAAAGTGTATTATTTACTACTTGTAGAAATGAAATATTTATTATTCGTAAACAGATTTACTCTGTCGTGGCTCTAAATCGGCATTCTATGAATTCGATAATGGACGCCATTTTCCTTACTTTCAGCAGCAAGCAGAGCCTCGCAATAAAGTTCCTCAATGAGCCTGAGCCTCTTTCTGTTCGGCGATTCGCAATCGATCTGATTTGGTGCGCTGAGTTCTTCGTCTCTGGGCCTCGGTTCCCCAATGCCATCCTCGTAGAGGATTCCTCCTTCCCCTGCACCCATGGTGTATTCCCAGGCGGGGTTCGTCTCCTCATCGATTGGCAGCTGCAGCGGCTCTCGAGCTGTGTACGATGCCTCTGTGGCTCGAGGTATTGGCCTGGCTGCTAGTGTAACAAAATGATTCATCTGGTGGTGTTGGAATTGTGGCAGAGGTTCCAGTTAAATGCTTCGTTCTCATACTCACTTCAATCAGGCACACGATGCACAGCACAGGGATAGAAAGCATCTTGGGTTGAAAATTTATAAGTAACTAAGGACAAACGAAAGCAAACAATTGATTGTTAGTGGAAGGCACACTGGGACAGAGCAGGATAACCAGACATCCAGCCATTACCATGCAGGATGCAGGAACAAGGAAACAAAGGAACGATCCCAACTATTTTTTATACTTTACCCAAACAAACATTGAACTGAAATTGAAATGAACTTCGAGCAAGACCAAGAGAGTCTCCTCCTTTCTCAAAATCCAGGGACTCTCCGTACATTTATTTTTTTAGTTACCTAAACTATAATTAACCACGCGCAACTGTACACATTCTGCTGTATGTATGTAATGTGTAATTTCTAATCTTATTGATTCATGACTTATCGACTAGGGCTCGTGTGTGCCAGGGAGTTGCCATTTTCTCCAGCAGCAATTTGTTACTCAGTTAAGGAAAACAGGGCAAACATTTTAAAATGAACTTCTTTATCGCTATATCATTACTACATTTACATTAATCGATCATTAGTTGCAATGCGCTTGCTTGTTTTTTTTTTGTGTGTTACTTTTTCTTGTAACAAAAAACTCTTATGCCATAATCTCTCTCCGACTCTCGGCCATTCAATTTTGATTGAAAATAGTGTTTTCATTTTGTAATTTTGTTTCTTGTTTGTCGTTGGTTTGCTGTTTTTGCATTTATACAATTTTAAGGCTACATGGAGGGGATTTTAATTTGGGTATGGGTATGGGTATGGGTATGGATATGGGGTGTATGCCTTCTGTGCAAGACTTGATTCAATTTTGTTTTTATTTCTTGTTTTATTTTGGGTTTTTAAAAACGAAATGGAAACAAAGTACATATAGTGCCCGCCCGCGCCCTAGTAAACCCTCGAGAGAGATGCGGTACCATCGATCCATCGAGGGTCCACGTCTAGGCCGGATGCATGGCTTAAAACGAAATAACTTAACCTATCAAGGGGGGGGGGGGGGGGGGGGGGGG